TTTGTTGCATGCATATCTCACCAATCGCTCCCCACATGTCGGGGGCGCTTAACGCGCGCGGGTGAGGGGGGCTTGCCCCTCTTGCCCCTAGCCCTGGCGAAAGAAAGAGAGAGAGAGAGAGAGAGAGTGTGTGTCCTTCCCTTCGGCTGTGTAGAAGAAGAGAGTGTGTGTGTGTGTGGGTGTGTGTTGCTTTCGTTCCTCCCTTGCAGGACTGTTCCGCAGCGGCACGCGCGATCCGGAGGGCGAAGACATCGATCTACTTGCGGAAAGCGACCTGTACAGGTGTGTGCCGCATGTCGCGTTGCCTGACAAGCCTCTCCGCCTCTCCCTATGCCCTATGCGTTCGCTTCGGCTTGCATTCTGCGAAGGATTCTCGGACTTCCGCGCAGCGCGAAAGCCGATGACATCAAGCGAGCCTACCGCAAGCGGTCTCTGAGGCAGCAAGACTTCGGCGGCCACACGTGCAACATTTGAATCCGTCAGTCCCTTCCTCTCTCCCTCTCTCCCTCCCTCTCTCTCTCTCTCCCTCTCTCTCTCTCTCTCTCTCCCTCTCTCTCTCTCTCGCTCGCTGCATGGTCACGCTGCGATGACTTTCGTGGAGGTTTCACCCGGACAAGAATCCGGACGACCCCGATGCCAAGCTCAAGTTCCAGAAGGTTGCCGAGGCGCCGCCCCGATGCTAAAGCTGCTAAGGCATTGAGGCGGAGGCCAAGAGTCGCGATTTTTTTTCGGACGAGGCCTTCACGGTCCTGTCAGACGAGAACAAGCGTGCAAAGTACGACAACTCTGGCGACATGGACCTAGAGGCCCGGTCCAAAAAGCGCAGGGCACATAAGATTGGGTCTGCAAAGCTGTGCATTCTGGTCACAGGGCTTCGACGTGGAGACTTTCATGGAAATGGTGAACGCTGCAGGGCGGCGCACCCAAAGAGCGAGAGCGCATGTAGAAAGCAGCGGCAACTCGCGTTCTAACCAATTTAGAGGCTGAAGTTCCAGAAGCAAGACCGCGGTTCGGACGAGCGCGATGGCCGCGACGACTTCCAGGCGAGGGGCCCCGCAGCGCAGCAGCGTGAGAAGAGGGGTTTGGGCTGCGCGCATGGCAGTGGCAGCGCCTCCGCTCCTTTGTTGCAGGAGGAGGCGCCTGCTGCGCGAAGTGCCATGGATCGCCTGGCCGGCCTGGGCGTTTCTGATGAGGAGCAGGCACGGGCACCTGTGTGTACTCACGAAATTAGGGCCTTTAGGGAAGTTCTGCTAGGTTTCTTATAGTATTTTTTGCCGTTCTTTAATGCTGAGGGCGATGCAATAGCCATCGGAGCTTCGCACTCAGACCGGTCCTATGCGGCCAGGTTCGGCACTGTGCATGGGCTGAGGATGGAGACTACGATGCGAATCCGTTCCTCCTCGGCGCCGAAGCGTCCAATCCGGCGGAGGTCTGTTCACTGGGTGCACAGGGTTTGAGCGTGCAGTCACACTGACACCGTCACATAGGTGCCCATCTTCGCTTCCGAAGGGGGTGCGGAAGCACAACAAGCAGCTGCCGTGCTTCGGAGCAAAAACTAGGCCAACGACGCCTCACAGCATGGTTCAGCTCGGCTCCGTTTGAGGCGGCTCTGCGGCATCTTCCTGCAGGCCTTCTGAACACTGGGCCCGCGTCCAACCTGGGTGGGGCCCATGGGACAGCGGGGACGAATCGCCGGGTTTTGTCACAAGGTACTACGTCCGCTTCTTTCAGGAGACGAAACTGCTGGGCTCTGGAAGGCATGGGTGAACAATGGGAGGCTGACGCGTCAATTCCACCGCACCCCTTCGCCAGTTTCGGGGCGGTCTACCTCTGCCGTCACGTTCTAGACGACATGATGCTGGGCGACTATGCCGTGAAGAAGGCGCCAGCCGGGCCAACGTCCTCGCTTGCCAAGCCGATGAGCTGCTCTCACAGGAATGAGGCAGTACTGAGGAATAACTCTCGACCTGAACGGAGAGACTTGATGCTGAAGTGAGACTCCGAAACTGCATGAAGGGTTCGGCGACCATGGGTACAATGCCAGAAGTACCATCGATCAAGCTGTAGGAGAAGCTTGATTCGTCTTGCTGCCACACCTGCTGCATCAGCAGGTGCCGGTGGGAGACAACAAGGCGCGGTGGAGTGGTGCGCTCTGTCAGTCGAACGCCACCATCTGCAGCAATGTGAGAGCGTAGAGTGTACCGGCTGTTCTCAAAGGCAGGATTTCGTTACTTCGTTTTGATGCCCTGTGCTGAGGCTCCAAGAGTTTTCGCGGAAAAAATGTTGGACCTTAGATTCTACAGTAGACGCTGGGTGCCGCAGCTGGGCCTTGAGCCCCTGAGCCTTGGCCTCCATCTTCGCTGACAAAACCATGGCCAAAGAGGGCGAATTGCCTGGAGCAGAGGGGCCGGGCAAGGAAGGATTGCCCTTCCACAAGGATTCAAAAGGCTTTCCTCATGCATTTGGGGAGGCTTTGAGGGTGAGCGCAGGCGTTTTCTGCCAAGCGAGGAGGCCTGCAGAGGCAACTGGGTTGGGCGAATCAGAGGAGAGTGCGAGCGAAGGGACGTGGCTGAGCCCTCACCGAGCGTTTGCGTTGCGTTGATTCCGTCAGCGTACCCCTTAGATGCGATGAGCAGGTCTGGCTCCGGGACATGGTGCGGGAAGTCCACCTCTCAGAGTGCATTAAGCTGTAAGTCTGCGAGATCAAGCTACCAGCTGCCAATCTTGACTTGACGGCACGGCATTCCGAGCACACACAAATGCAATGCCACCTTTAGCCAGATTCTGAGATTCAGCCTCAGGATGGTCTGTGCCACGGCAAAAGACGGCAAACATCAGCACCAGCTACACGATCACGGGTATAACCCAACCTGCATAACACCCACCATTACCACGTCCATATTGCCAATCGCGGAGAATAGGATGCCATGTCCAAGCGCAAGCTGGAGGATGCCCAGAGGGAAGCCAATCGGCCGTCCCAAGCAGGCAACTTGGCGTAAGCTTTGGTGTCGTCTGGGAGGCACTCCATTTTGTCGCAGGCCGGCCCCCCTTGGTTTTCCAACTGGAAGCAACTTGTGGCCGAGCACGAGCTGCAACAGTCACTTTGCCCCATGGTGATGTGCTGACACCAGCCGCTCGTCGTGACGAAGCCTTGAAGTCGATGCAAAATGCGACCAGCTCTACTATACCCAGCCGACTTCGCGGCCCTTGAAGAAACGTACCCTGTTTACGAGGGGACTGCCGCAGCCTCCATATAAGGTAACGCTTGGATACGAACTTGAATCTAACCGTTTCTAGTCTTTTGAATTCCCGAATGTTTCGGATTCGGGGCAACATGAGCGGATTGAGTCATTTGACATCAGTTTTTGTTTGGTAATTGGCTTGCATGCCCCGGTCTGCTCAGGTTTTCATGCCAGTTGGTGGCTCGTCGGAGATCCGAGATGTCAAGGAATTAGGTGACCTGTCTCAAGAATGTCAGTGGAGCATTCCCAGGCACACAGGGCACCATCAAGGGCATGTCGTCCGCCACTCCGGCTGCACTGAACGTTTTGGCACATTGCAGCGCTTTGCGGGGCTGAGGAGGACATGGAGATGCTCGGCTGTCGGCCGCACAGAGTCGTAGAGTCGTAGAGTTAGAGCCTCACCGGGTGAGGAAAGGGATGTTGGGACCTGGGAGTCTAGGCCGGATCTTGCTGGGGAACACCTTCCACCTTGCAAACCGTCCCACCTGCGAGCTTCTTCGAAAATGCGGTGGTCTGCACAAGCTGATGAACTGGTGCCTCTTCTCACAGTGCAGAAGAGAGAGAGAGAGAGAGAGAGATCTTTTTGTTCACACCGCTACTCGCATGCAGGAACGGCAACATCCTCACTGACAGCGGGGGGTTTCAGATGGTCTCTTTGCTGAAGCTGGCTGTCATTACAGCATCTCGGCTCGAGATGGCTCGCGGCGGAGCGGCGGAGCGGTCTTTGCGTCCCCCAGGCCCCACGCGGCTTGGCTTGGGAGTTGGGTCCCAGGAAGATGGTGTCGAGTTTGAAGACCCGAAGAAGCCGGGAAGCCGGATGCTGCTGACGCCGGAGAAGTCCATTGAGTCCCAGAACGACATCGGAGCCGACATCATGACAGCCCCCGGCTTTGCTCAGTTCCAGGCTTCAAAGCAGTGTCCATTTGAGTGTTCCAGGATGGCCCTGGACGATGTGGCAACTCGGCCGGTGGTATCATGTCAAACCTCTTTCGTCCTGTGGCAGGGCAGGGAAGCGGGGCCCCTGTCAGGTTTCTTCGACGCTGGATCCTGTCAAGGACGAGGCACGCATCAAAGAGGCGACGGATCGGACTTTGAGATGGCCGCTGGGCCAGGAAGGAAGATATCTCTGCGTAGGTTCCGCTGCGGCGAAAGCCCTCATTAGTTGGTTGGGCACGCACGGATTGCCCCGTGCTTTCGTGTTTTCGCCACCCAGTGACAGCTTTTCGTACACCCAGACCATCAGATTACCGGAGCGTCCATGCCCGAACTGTAATAACGTCCACCCAGACCCCATCCGATGATCAGAGCATAGTGACGATGTGTTCTCCAGACCCCATCCGATTAACAGATCATCCATGCCCGAACCGCAGTAATAACGTCCACCCGGACCCCATCCGATGACCAGAGCATCCATGCCCTAACGGTAATAGTATCCACCCCGACCTCGTCCGATCACCATAGCTTCATCGTGCGCTTGTGCCGCAATGCATCCTAAAGTTCAGGACACGAACGTGCTGGTCTGCGCATGAAGTTGCATAAAAGACCAGTGAAAACCGGTATCTTCCACTAGCCCACTTTAACCCGAATGTCGTGCAACAACGTCGCGTTTTTGGGCGGGCGCCCACGCAGCGGGGCCCTCCATGCGCGCCTGACCTAGTGGCAAGTGTGACGTCGACAGCGGACCCTTGCCTCCGCTCGCGGTGGCCTTGCTGAGGATTGACCGATGCATGAAAGCGCACCGAAATCCAGCGCAGCAGCCGCTTGGGCCGCAAGAGAAGGGAGGTTTCGGGGAGCCACGCCGCTCTTTTTGAGGAACCTCTTCGGCATCGTTCAGGGCCACCTGGATGTCAAGGAGGGAGGCTTACGGGACTACTCCTTGAAGGACACCCAGCCGCGTGCTGCCGCCGCCATGTCTCCCCTCCCCGGCTCGTCCCAGTCCCAGGAGATGATCAAACGCGATTTGCCCGGATACGCCATCGGGGGCTTGTCAGGAGGCGGGGCGGCCCGAGGCTGCAGGCCAGGCGGACCTTGTCTGCGGCCCAGGCGAGGCCAAGTCAGAGTTCTGGCGTGTGGTCGAACAGTGCACGCGACCTCAAAGTGGCCTCCCTCCGATGAAGCCGAGACCTGCCTGAGAAAAGCCGCCGTGCAGAGCAATGTAGAGGTTACAGGGTTCCGAGAAACCTATTCGGGAGCCCCCAGCGAGATTCCCATGTGCAGGCCCTTCCTGGCTTGCAGTGTCCAACTTGTCCAGCCGAGGCGTTACCTGATGGGAGTAGGCTATCCCCTGGACATCGTCATTTGTGTCGCGCTGGGCGTTGACATGCTCTTGGCTTACCCTGCTCATGCGAAGATGCCTGTACAGTGAATCCCAGAAAGTTGGAACATGCCGGGATCCCGTCTACTTTACCTTAAGAGCATGAGGATCATAACGCTACAACTTTCTGGCTTCTACTCTAGGTGCAGTTATTTGTGGGGTGCAAGAATTGTAAGGTTTGATTGCGTGTATCCCTGCCGAACGGCACGCTTCGGCACAGCTCTGGTGCGGAGTGGCCAGCTCAGCTACTTGGTGCAAGCAATTCGAGCCCGATGATCTTCTTGCGCCCTCTACGCGCCGTATTGTGGAAGTGTAGACTCAGGGCTGACGAGCGCCGAGTTCGCCAGCGACTATCGTCCTCTGGAGCCGGACCGCGATGGAAACGGCCAGGGTCCGCTGAAGGACATCTAAGTAACCCTCCGAGTCGGGACATCATACTGCCTTCTCTCCCCACGAACAGGTGCGTATCTTGGCCAGTAGTTTGAATTGACGAATCACTCTGCTGCGCCAAGAAGGACCTAGACCACAAGGAGGGTTTGAAGAAAAAGCGCCCTGCACAGCAGTGAGTAACGTCGGGGGGCCTTGCCTTGACGGCTTTGCGACGGCTGAAGCCGTCCTGCAAGCTGAGAAGCGAGTCCTCCGAATTCCACGATGTTAATCTCACAATTTCACGGCTCAATCCTTTGTGCACCTGTCCGTGTTGCCTAAGACCGTGAATGATTCAGTTCATCATGCGAGACTGTGCAAAACAAACTTAAAAACTCTGGTAATGCGGAGGATTACACCAGAGCCATGTTGTACACCATCGTTACCAAAGAGCCCGTGGCTGCGCAGCTCATCACACTGCACAATCTCTGGTTCATGCTGCGTCTTGGCCGAGCGGCAGAAGTCGAACAGAATCCTCAGCTCAGAACACCTCGCTTCCAAACCCCCAGGCCCGCAATGTTGTTGCTCCAGGAATCTTCTGCAAGAGATGCGGCAGCAGATCAAGTCGGGATCATTTCCGGAATCGTGGCATGCGACTACTCATGCTCGGTTTGAGAGCACTTCTGATCGCATTGTGGGGCCCTAGCAAGGAGTGGGTCCGTCGATTTCTGCAAGACTTCTTCCCCATGGCGAAGCCGGCTCCGTGCGAACACTGCCCACCGCGCACCGCGGCGGTGAAGGGAGAAGCAGCTCTCTTCTCCTGGCGCTCATCAACGGGCTGCCTTCCTCAAAAGCCCTCGAGCTATTACTCTCTGACTGAGGATGGGTGAAGGATGCTTTGGATTTATGTGGCATAGCTGTGGATGCACCTTCGTTGCACTCTGTCCGGCTTGTGCTTTTGGGCCAAGGTGTTTGCCTTGCACGGCAACAATATCCGGCTCTGGCAGACACTGTCCCAATGTAGTAGGGGTGGCAGCAGCAGCAGCAGGGGTGTAAGTCAGCGTAAGTAGTAACAGCAGTAGCTACGTGTGGCAGTGGCCGAAACGGGGCGCCACATGCTCGCGAGGACTCGTGCTTGGCCCTAGCCCTAACGGACTTTAGGCGGCGGGAGAGGAAATCGCAACAGCTCACGGCATGGTCTAGCGATGTGTGTTGCAGTCTTCAAAGGACCTCTTTGATTGGAGCGAGTCTGCAAAAGAGTTGCCGGACATGCCAAAAGACACCGGGAAGGCCTCCGGTGCCTTGGCAAACGTCTTGACGTCTAGAGGGGTCTCTTGTGCTCTGATTTCTGTCATCCTGCTGAGATTCGAAGTGTCTAGAAGGCAAGTGATGGATCCCGAGTTCACGTAGCTCCTGAGCGAGGGCTGCAGCGAGTGGCCCTGATTTCGCTTCCGGGAGAAAACGTCGTATGTTGTGGGGCTGCTACTTGATTGCCAAGTTGCAACGGGTTCCCTGTCTCGCCGTGCAAGGTGAAGACTTTCGAGCGCCTTCATCATCCGAACATAGTGGAGTCTCCGACCCAAACTTCAGCGACATCTTTGAAACCACAAACACCGTGTGTGACCATGCGAGGTACAAGCATTCCTGGTTGGAGCTGTCCAGGCGTTCCGAGTTCTGTCCCTTCGTGCCTCGGCCATGATTCCAGCGGAAAGGAAGGCGTGGAAGTGCACTGGAAGTGCTATTTTTTGTGCTTCGGGCCGAGGTGCCTTTCCTCTTCATCCTCATGCCCGGCCCCCCAGGATTTCTGATTGTGCTCTCATGTAACATTGTGGCCGCCAGGCAGTACTGCAACGGCGGCTCCTTGGCGGAGCAGATATGGCACGACGGCAACTCCCAGACGCCAAAGGACCAGATGCCCACCGAACAGGCGGCTGCGAGGCTGCATGCGTTCCCAGTTCGCAAACTGCATTCCCATCTGAGATCTGGCACTTCCTCTTGGACATCCTCCTGGGATTGCAGCACTTGCACAGGCGCGCCGCATGCTTCGACTGGCGGCTCTGCGGTCCCTTCAGATCTTCTATTTGCGAGGCAGGGCATCCTGCACCGGGACCTGAAGCCGACAAACATCCTTCTTTCCTGGCCCGACAACAGCAACAGGCCGTTGTGTTTCTGCGTGTGGTAAAGGCCTCCACCCCTTGAAGCTGCAGGGGTGCCGGATCCGAGACGTTCCCCAGGGCGCTTCTGAGCTTGGCCCTCAAAACGAGCTGGCAGAGAAGAGAGTCTTCGCAGAGCGATTTTCCGAAGTCCAGGTGACTTCGGAACGGCTCAAGCCTTTGGGGAGCCACCGGCCAGCAGGGATCCCGGAGAACGCACAGCTGAGCTGGCCCAAGCCCCTCAGTTGCCCGACGGAGGTGCGACGGCAGCGGCCTCGCGCGGCTACACGGGCACTGCCTGGGGCTCGGCCTCGAACCACAAACTCGCGCTCCCTTCTCGTCGGTTCCTTCGCGTCGCTTTTGTCTTTGGCTCGAAAGGTGGAGTACACGGCGCCGGAGCTGCTCCTGATGGAGGACTTTGAGCGGGAGTATTCTGAGAAGAGCGACATGTGGCCGCGTTCTCAGTGCGAGTAAGTTGTACGCAAGCAGTTTGACTGCAAAAAATCGTCCCCACCTCGCCGACCTGCAGACATGCAGGCAGGCAGAGACACACGTGACAACATATGTATGCATGTATATATGTAGATACACAGACAGGCAGACAGAAAGACAGACAGACAGACAGACCGACGGACGGACGGACGGACGGACAGACAGAGAGACAGAGAGACAGAGAGACAGAGAGACAGAGAGACAGAGAGACAGAGAGACAGAGAGACAGACAGACAGACTCGGCTTATATTTCCCTCTGTTTATGTTAGCATTTCCACAGTTTCCTCGAGTTGCCTTGGTGGTGAAAGCGCCACTTACCAAGCTTCTCCGCAACATGCGGGGGCGCTGACGCGCGCGGGTGAGGGGCTCTGTCCCCTCTCCCTTATCCCTTGAGAAAGAAAGACAGACAGACAGACAGACAGACAGACAGACAGAGAGACAGACAGACAGACAGAGAGACAGACAGACAGAGAGACAGACAGAGACAGACAGAGACAGACAGAGACAGACAGAGACAGACAGAGACAGAGACAGACATAGACAGACACAGACAGACATAGACAGACACAGACAGACACAGAGACAGACACAGACAGACA